AATTCACAACTAGAAATTTATTTCGTTTTTACGATACCCTCTTTTATTATAATTAAGATGGATGTTATTTTACCTACCTTCATATATCCACTTATTTCGTGTGATTATTATTGTTGGTGATTCGGTTTGGTTTTTATTGTTTAATGGCTGTTATAATTAATTAGAAAGAAGTATTTTTTCACTGGTTAAGGTAATCGTATTACATCTGCCTTGTATTCAGTAGCATGCATGAATAATTTAACAAGTAAGGTTAGGTTATGTTTAGCTGGACCAACAGTTTAGATTTTAGATAAATATATATAATATATACACAGATCCAGCCCTTTTAAATTATATATTGTATAAGTGACACTATACAAAAGGCTTTTTTCAGACTTCATTTTCGTTTTGTATAGCTTGATTTAAAATATAGTTTCACTTTTTGAGGAATTCTACAACAGTGCGTCTTTTTTTTTTCAGTAAGAAAATTCAAGTTGAAATTGCGGCGCCAATACAAAAATTAATGAAGCCTAGACATATATTTTCGATATCTTAAATGTATCAAATAATGGATGTACATTGGATATGTTAAACATCTATAGGATATCCATTGGTTACTTATGAACCTCTACTAAAGGTACTTATTAGATATTTTGCTGGATATCCATATAATATCTTCTATATCCTGGATATAGACGGACATTTGGATATCCATATTAGATCCAGTGGATATCTATATGATATCCTGTGGATATATTGGATATCCATAAAAGATATTCTGTGAATATCTCTGGGATTTCGTGTATTGTCTGGGATATACCCATTAGATATTTTGCTGGATATCCATAGGATATCTTCTATATCCTGGACATAGACGGACATTTGGATATTCATATTAGAACCACGGGATATTTATGATATCCTGTGGATATATTGGATATCCGCAAAAGATATTCTGTGGATATCTCTGGGATTTGGTGTGTTGTCTGGGTGCCTTTGTAATCATTAGCATGCATGAAGAATTTAACAAGTAATTAAGGTTAGGTTATGTTTAGCTGGACCAACAGTTTAGATTTTAGATAAATAAGTATAATATATACACAGATCCAGCCCTTTTAAATTATTAGTTTAGGTTATACAGGGTGTTAAAAAAAAAGTGTCACAAAATAAAACGGGGGGTAGTATGGGCCAAAATATGCAGAAAAGTCTTAATAAACATATGTCCGCAAATGAATGGTTTCAGAGATACGGAGTGTTTTGTATCATTTTTTGATTATCTTTTTTCATTCTCAAAAACTTATCTTATCGGAGTCTACCGATGTTTTTTCATAGATACTATTTGCAGTTATTATTTTGTTGTGGGTGAATAATTTTATAAATTTTCGTTATGCCTGTTTACACTAATATTGAATTAGCTGACATGCATTTTATGTACGGTCGTGTTTTGGAAAGAGTCCGACAGTCCTTTCGGAGGAGATGTCGTAGCTGCATTGAAATGGAGGGAGGGCACTTTGAACATCTCATTTAACTCTATGTTGTTATTGATTGTTTATAAATACCATTGTTTTTTTATAATAATAAAAAATTGTTATAAACACAAAATGGTCCGTATCTCCGAAACCGTTAATTTGCGGTCATATATTTATTAAGACTTTTCTGCTTATTTTGGGTCATACTATTCACCATTTCATTTTGTGACACTTTTTTTTTAACACCCTGTATATTGTATAAGTGACACTCTGCACAAAAGGCTTTTTTAGACTTCATTTTCGTTTTGGGTATAGCTTGATTTAAAATATAGTTTCACTTTTTGAGGAATTCTACAACAGAGCGTCTTTTTTTTTTCAGGAAGAAAATTCCAGTTGAAATTGTGGCGCCAATATAATGTGTGTGTGTGTGTGTGATTAGGTTCAGGTTTTCCTTGGCTGCAGGTACTAATATAATAATATTTTTATACTATAGTTTACTTTTTTAAAATATTTTTATCTCACACACGTTTCTATAATTGTGATTTCTTCGATTGCTAGGTCATACCATTCTCATACTGACTAATCAGAGACTGCTGCAGAAACAACACAAAATTGCACCTCGAAAAAAATCACTTGAAATCGTGGTACATCCATAGACATCATATTATCTAAGATAGACTCGCAAAAGAATCTTAACAAAACATAAACTTTGGATTGCACGTCACTCCTACTTTCAGATTTGTCTCCATAACGGACAGGTATCAGCGACAATTTTATACATGCTTTTACATTGTTAAATAAATCAAGCCTTATTTACTATATATGCCTCCTTCTATGCTAACAAAACCTCACCTATGAAATAACGGCATAACATTCTTATTACAAATAGTTTGGCACACTACACATATCCTTACCATCCTAAATGTTCATATTAAACAGTTCAATGTTCAAATTATTCTCGAAAATCCCAAAAAACTACAAAAACTACACTTGACGCCGTTAATATATTCAATATTCAATAAAATAAAAAAACATTCTATAAAGTACCTCGAGATGTTCCGACTGTGCCCAAAATTTAATCGTTTCACCGCAGGATGGATTAAAGGCAATTAAAGCTTAAATTTAAAAATTGGTGTTTTTCTCTTTATCCATTTTTGAGTTGTCTTCAAAATTCAAAATTTTAAATTTTTCTCAAATATCTCGAATACGGTCCTATTTAGAGAAATTATGTGTGGGACCATAATTATAGAGAATGACATCACAAACTACTTTTATTTAAATAATTTTCTTGAAAATTTGTATTTTTTACATTTTGTCAAATTTCTCAAATTCAGACCATTTTAGAAAAATTTTGTGTAAAACAAAAATACGTGTGGCACTCGGGGACTGCCGCGGTAAAGCTATTGCATAGCATTTTTTATCAACTTATGCAATTATAATTATTTATTTATTTTAATTATGCAGTATTTTTTTTTCTTTGATATTAATTCAAGTTACATTTTTTGAGCGTGGTGACCGATAAGAGAACAAATTTTTTTCTTTTATTGAATAAATGAGAAGTTAATATTGTTTAAAATATTTTTATTATCTTACAATACATGTAGGTTATTCAGGAATTTTTATCATTGAAACTATAGGTTTATGGTAACTGAAATAAGAAACATAAGTTTGAGACTTGATATCCTCTAAATATATGGAAAATATTTTTTTTTTCGATTTTTTAATTCTTTAATTTTTCGATTTTTTGATTTTTCGATTTTTCGATTTTTCGATTTTTCCATTTTTCGATTTTTCGATTTTTCGATTTTTCGATTTTTCGATTTTTCGATTTTTTGATTTTTTGATTTTTCGATTTTTCAATTTTTCGATTTTCTTTTATTGAATAAATGAGAAGTTAATATTGTTTAACGCTGCACCGCTGTGCCGGTCGGAGTGGGGGGTGTTTTTTTTTCGATACGGTGTTACGCAATTTCTTGATTCGGTCGCCGCGCTCAAAGCCCGCGATAAAAGCTATGCAATAGCTTAAAATTATAGAGAATAATATTACAAGTAACTTTTGTTTGAATAATTTTCTTTTCCGAACGTAAATAATAGATATATTCAAAGGTCCACAAAACGTAAAAATCGGTCAAAAACTCGGGGTCGAAAAAATAATGATTACTATACTTTCATCTGTATACAGACAAGAAAGTAAAAATGAGTGATTCCATAAATAATAGCATATTTCTCAAGATATTCGTCTATATTTACAAATAAACTGTAAATTTTAATAAAACCAAAACAAAATTAATGAAAAATATTAAAAAATGTTACTGCCTCTTTAGGCAGAGGTAGAGTACTGATTTGCTATGCGAAGGGTCCGGGGTTACAATTCAGGATTAAAGTCAAAATAAAAAAAATTCTATATATTTTTTTTAAATTTATTTTATTTTATAACTCATAAATTATTTTTAAAATTTAAAAATTTTATTCTAAACCTCTACATTATTTTATAAATTTTGTAGATTTTTGTTAGGTAGTAGAAAAACTATACTGTACAACTCGAGTAGATTATCCGTATCGATTGAGCACTCCGCCTATCAAACTTCGTCTTCGTGTGTAATATTAATCATATCCACTCTTGTACAAACTACTGTTAGATGAAGGTTCAAGTAAAAAAAAAATTTTGCAAATCCGTCTCTGTGGACTACGTTTATGGCATAGTTCAATGCACCCAGCTTATAAAATGATGCAAGGTCACCAATATTTTCCATAAAGTCCTAGTTCAGGGTTCAGGTGCGTTCAGACATTGCGTTCGGTCTGCCAAGTTCCTTTAACTCCTTTAACACTTTTAACTCCAAACGACCCTTTTAGCGTTAAAGTCCGATTAGTGACAGTTTAACACGCTTAAATGTCATTTAAAGGCACCCTAAAATTTGTCCCGCTCCAGCCCCTGACTGACCGAACTCGCCTATAGTTGTTCAGTGGCGCCTGTAGAGTCTGCCCGGATAGAGAAGAGTATTTACGTCACAAACCCGCACATTTGTTATGGTCGCTTGAAATCAGCCAGTGGCGAAACCAAAATACTAAACAAACCATGTCCTAACTGCCGCGTTTGAGAATCCACATCGGATGCATCTGAGATGTAGTAAATCTTTGATCACGTGATTCAGTATGCGTAAATGTAATGGGACCACAAATCAAAATCAAAGTATGTGAATGGGACAGATGTGTCCAATGTGGATAAAGTTTTAGTTTTTCTATGTGGATAAAAAAACGCTCGACATGTAAAAAATGCATCCGATGTGGATTCTCAAACGCGGCATATCTATACTGTACTGATACCATAGATAAATTAATATTAATTTATCTATGACTGATACCCAACAATTCTCGCCACATTACCTTAGTAACGTCAGAGACAATCCAGCGTAACGACAAATAAGTCGTTAGCGCATCCTGACGTATAACTCTTCTCTATCTGCGCGGATTCTAGGGACCATCAAAAACACATTTCAAAGCAATTTACAAGATTTCACTCTCTTTATTATTGTTTTCTATGGTACATTGTGACCAACATTAGGAATTAATTCAAATTTTGTACCATGGTTACCAAATTATAAAACTGAAAATAACTATGTTATTTTTTTTGGATAAAACACTTCAAATTAACCATATCACTAATTAATTATTATTACTGCAAAACGTGAAGATTAAGTCCATTATGAACCTAAAAAGTGTGACTACTTAGTATTGGTATCATTAAAAGCAATGATCGATTATCGAAATGATTATTTAGCCCTTGATGTGCCTTCTGTGGATCCTTTAGTTGATAAGAGACGAAAAATAAATTTTAAAAGGGTTTGTATATTTTTAACAAAAATAAGTTTTTGCTTCTAGAAGTAAGACATACAAGTATTTGACTCTAAAATATATCTATGATATAAACATTCAATTTTATATACCCTATTAAGTTTATATAAATGTTTTTTATTATTCCTTTACTTGACTTATATTTTTTCCTAGATAGCTTTTAGAAATATGAAATATTTTGTTATTTCCTTAAAGTAGAATGACAATCAAAATATTTGCTGTACTCATCAGATCTCATACTTAAATAGTTTCACCAAGACTATATTTAAACTGCGAAGCATACTGAACAGAGATGGTTCATTTTGTGTTTAAAACCCCTCCCCCTAATTGCTAAACATTAAGAGAAATTACAGTGATTACTCCTACATCTAGAATAGATGGAATACATTTAGGAATGCCACCTTTAAAATTTGGTTGACCAGGAGATTTATGTCAAAAAAAATTGCAGTAGGAAGAAAACTCATTTTTATTTTCGAGCTTATGGTATTCAAAATAATAATTCACACAAAAAAAGAACTAATTTTTATTTTCATAAAAGTGTTTAATTTTATTTTCATAAAAATATAATTAATCATTACGTTTTCATTATCATAAAGTATTTTTGAATGTTCCGAAATTTAAAGCTATATTTTTTTTATTTTGGTGTTTTGGTGAAATGAGGTTTAACCCGGTGAAAATATCTAGATTACCAGAGCCTGAAGACCATATAACCATATATTAAAACCAGGAGTCTCTGGGGAGAGGTGGCAACCCTAAATATATTCTGTATATCTGTACATAAACATAGAATTGACTATGGGTAATAATGGAAAATTAGTTCAAACAGAACTAATACAGATTAACTCTTGGATTAAAATAGATATAACCAGTAAATATTTTAGAAAACATTACCAATAGTCAATAGTATGCAAGTTATTACTAGCTTTAGACAGACCATGTCTAGTACTAGAATGTCACCAAGCCCTAGTAGAATTCTTAATAATATTGTTTTACTGAGGAGGACCAAAGAATGGTATGACAAAATACAAAAATCAATGGTCTCATAAACATAGAACACTGCTAGTTTTTATTAAAGGTTCTGAAAATTTAAATATATTTTTTATTTTTAGATTTGGAATCAGTTATCGAAATGCCAAAAAAGCTGCCTCTTGTGCTGTGTTACTTTAATTCTCTTTAGTTTTTTATATTATATTAATCAAAACGAAAATAATGGTTTTATATCATTAAATGAACATGTAGACAACAAATATATTTTAAAAAGTTTCATAGAGGGCTCTAATAAACTAGCTCACACTTCAGAAAATTTACATAAAATAGAAATTGAACAAAAAAGTGAAAGAATTAGTAAAAATGATTTAGCTCCTAAAGATGCACATATATTTTTAGGTAAATATCTAATAATATTGATTTCTTTGAAAATATTTTGCATGATTATACAGGAAACACAAAAAATGATAAAGCAAAAATATTTTCTTGGTTATTAATTATTTAATTTTTAGGTCCTACCACAGAAAGGCAAAGAGCTGTTGCAGATGCTTTTAAGCATGCTTGGAAAGGATATAAAAAATTTGCATGGGGCCATGATCATCTTAAACCTATTTCTGAGAGTTATAGTGATTGGTTTGGTCTAGGACTGACAATTGTTGACTCTTTAGATACTATGTTCATAATGGGGCTTAAAGAAGGTAGTTGAAATATTAAGGGTTTCTCACAAACTATCCATTGATGATTGCTTTGAATGAAACATTGATTTATATAATTTATACATGAAATTCAAACAGAAACATTTCGTTTTATTATGTTTTTAGAATACAAGGAAGGCAGGGATTGGGTTGAAAAACACCTAAATTTCGATATTAATAGAGATGTTAACTTATTTGAAGTAACAATTCGTGTATTGGGTGGTTTACTTAGTATTTATCATCTATCTAAAGATGGTATGTTCCTAGAAAAAGCGGTAAGTCAGTAAAATTGATTGTAACTCTTCCAAATCACTTTATTTTTTAGACTGACTTAGCAGATAGATTATTACCCTGTTTTGATTCCGAATCAGGCATTCCGTATTCTGATATTAATTTGTTTACAAGAAAATCACATTCACCCAAATGGTCTCCTGATAGTAGCACATCAGAAGTTACAACTATACAGTTAGAATTTAGAGATTTAAGTAAAGCAACAGGGAACTCTAAATATGAGGAAGCTGTGCATAATGTTTCAAAAATAATTCATAAATTAGATAAAAAAGATGGTTTGGTACCAATTTTTATTAATGCAAATTCTGGTCAGTTTAGAACATATGCAACTATTACTTTAGGCGCACGAGGTGATAGCTATTATGAATATTTACTTAAACAATGGATACAGACTGGAAAGGTGATAGATTAGTAAGTACATTTAATTTTTATATGAATATTTTTATTAGAATGTCCCTACTGCTCTATACATATTAGTTATCCATGGAAAATGTTTAAATTTATTTAAAAATTGATAAAATTATTCTGTGTTACAAATAGAAGCGGTAGTATCCCTGTAAAATACAACTTACATACCTTTATTTTTTAGCTTAAGAGATGATTATTTAGAAAGTATAAATGGTATTGAAAAACATCTTCTAAGAAAAACTGAACCGAATGGTTATACATTTATTGGAGAACTTTTGGGAGGTGGCAAAGACTTTAAACCAAAAATGGATCATCTCACTTGTTATCTACCTGGAACTCTGGCACTAGGAGTACATAACGGTTTACCAAAAAATCATTGGATTTTGGCAGAGGAATTACTAAATACTTGCTACCAAACATACGCTCAACAACCTACTTTTTTGGCCCCAGAAATTACTTATTTTAATTTACAGGTTAGTAGTTATTTTTTTATCTCCTCACTTTTTCAGACATTCCTCTGTTTTTCCCCTGAGGAGTACATCCCTCCATACCCCACACTAAGGAGGCTTTAATTCCAACCTCCTCTCTTCTTATTGTTCCTCAATTTAGATGACCTACTCCTTATTCATTCATTTCATACATTCCCAACCATAGGTACATTCTACTGTTTAGAGCAGTCATACCCAACCTGCGGTCTGCCAAGCTTTTATGTGCAACCCGAATCGTATTAGTGATTTTTAAAGTTTTTAAAATCGTGAACGAAATGCGAGAGAACATTCATCGGTCGCTGCACTAAATATGCTAAGTTTTAAAAAATGTTTGGATATTAAAAAAAATGGTCATGACCCAAAAATGTTGAGGTCTGTGTAACATAGCAAACATAATGTGGCCCAAAGGAACAAAGATTGAGTATAGCTCATCTAGAGTCTAGATGCTTGGTCAACCATCTAAACATAGGCGAAGTTAGGGGGGGGGCTTGGGGGAGCTTATTTGTTAACATTCTGTTATCTGATACAACTCATTGGATGAAAGATATAGTTTGTAAATGGCCTAGATTTAAATGCTATTTGTTAATTAATTTACATACAGAAGTTGGTTATCTTAAAAATACATATTGGTATATTAATTTTGTTTTAATTTTCAGCCTGGAAACACAAAGGACTTATACGTAAAATCTAATGATGCACACAACCTCTTACGCCCAGAATTCATTGAAAGTCTTTGGTATATGTATCAATTTACCGGTAATACTACTTATCAAGACTGGGGTTGGAAAATATTTCAGGGCTTTGAAAAATATACCAAAGTTACCAATGGTTACACATCAATTGGAAATGTTAGAAATACTGCTAATGTCAGGCCAAAAGATATGATGGAGTCCTTTTTTTTATCTGAAACATTGAAATATTTGTACTTGTTATTTAGCAATGATCCAAAAATGTTGAATTTAGATAATTATGTTATCAATTCTGAGGCACACCCACTGCCAATTTACTTAAAGTGAAATTTAAAATTTTGTCTTGACTCGTCTAGTCCATTTTTATTTAAATATATATATACATGTTAACAATTTTTAATTTGATTTTGTTGTGGTCTTTTTAGCAATAAAAATTTCCAGGTTACATATTTCGGCATTTTGAATTTTTAAAAGCCAATTAGGCAATCCAACGTAAAAACTCTTCAAAAAATAATATATAAGTGTTTTTATCACAGAAAACACTTCTGTTTTTTGCCAAGCGTCCACTATTTATAAAAGTCTTGTATTTTGAATTTCCTAATTGTATTGCAAAAATTGCACCATCGTGAAGCGGCAGGAACCTTCCCAACTAAAGCCCTTAAAAATATGTGGCAGCGCATGTTTTTCCACTAGTTAGATCCCGGTCAAAAAAAATAAATTGTACTTTTCATGAAATATTTCCAATACGGTACATTTCATGAACATAATGTATATAACACATAGTGTAACGCGAAGCCAACCCTGTTCTTTGTTTATTACCGTACACGCGCCAGGAAGTCTAGCGCTGGCCACACCGAGACCCATCTCCAAAAACTGATTCGAATGTTTTTCATCGCAGTCTTACGCGTGTAGGATAATTTCTAAAAATTCCAGACTGAGCTTCTAGTCAGAGTTGGTTCTTTCGAGAGCGTTGCAGTTTTATATAAATAGCCGCGGTTTAAGTGTTTTGATAGTAAAGACAAATTGTAATAAATAAATTAGACACTAATTATATAAAATCATTTAAATTACCCTGCTTATGTTCTATATTCACAGCTGAAGCAGTGGCGATTCTAAAAGCCTTAGATTGGTGCAAAGCAAATTCATTTCAGAATATAGTTATATTGTCTGACTTCCAATCAGTTCTGCAGGCTATTGATAGCCCTTCCATAAGTCAAAACAAAAACGCGGTAATATTATCCATTAAGAAAATTATATTTGACCTTAAACAGTGTAGCGTTAAAGTTTCCTTGGTTTGGGTTAAAGGACATTGTGGCATTGAAGGAAATGAACATGTGGACAGGGCTGCTAAAGAAGCATGTAGTTTAGAACAAATTACATTATTTTGTAGTTTTATAGATATTATTAGCATTTATAAATAAGATGTAAGAAATAGATGGGAAATTAAATACACTGAGCATGCGAAAGCATCACAAAGTCACTATTATAGTATACATCCAAATCTTCCTAAGAATATTCCTTACATCAGTTCATGGAACTATAATAAATATCAGTCATCTATAATTACTCGTTTGAAGCTCAATCACGGCCGATTCCCTGCACATTTATGTAAAATTGGAATATTGGATTCTCCCTTTTGTCCATATTGCAATATAAACGCTGTAGCAGATATCAATCATTTATTTTTAGGTTGTAATAAAAATGCTCAACATACCACCGTATTATATCAAAATTTAAATAAACTTTCACTCCCTCTTCCACTCAATATTTCTTCACTTTTAGTTCAATCAGATAAGATAATTTTTGACGATATTATTAAATTTACTCAAAATACTAAAATAGATATTTAACATAATATATATGAAAATTATTAAGTTTAAACTTTCTGTGGTAAATAGACTTGCATGTCTGATGCCATCCCATTACTAAAAAAGAATAACAAGTATTAAAAATTAAAAAAAAAACGGCTTTAAAAACGTGCAGATGCCATCACCACATCTTAACCAAATTTATATGGGACCACCCCTGAGGTACCCCCTTACTAACAAAAAAAGAATCATGGAGAAAGGATAATTAATAAACGGTTAAATACTTTAAAACATAAATTTAACATCAAATAACTTTGAAAGGAGTGAGTTTATCGAAAAATGTTAAGAGACCTTTTTTGTAGAGCATTAAATTTCCCTGAAGAATAATAACTGGCCTCAAAAAAATATTAATATTTAAGTTCATTTTGGAAATCCCAAATGCAAAGTGAAAAATTGAAAATATATACCAATGTTTAAGGCTCGATTACAAAGAATAGACTCGTCTTACGAAAATTTACTAAGAGAGCTTTTTTTGTGGGGAATTTAATTTCCTACAAAGATAAGAGATGAAAAAAATTTTTAAAATTGACCAAGTCCGACATTTATGCAAAAACGCGACAACTGTTGAAAAATCAATAACTGCACTCTGCACCTCTTAATATTATTATTAAGGACTCAAACTTTCAGGAAAATTTTTTTTTGTCGTCATGAACCATATTTTCATAGTTCCGCTAAGAAAAAAAAATTGTTTTATTTTTTTGGCCCAGTCTAATGTACATACGGACATTTTATATAAACATGTTTTTTTTGGGTTCCTAGGACCCCAAAACATAAATATCTGGTGTTATCCACGTACGGACATTTGATAAAAACATGTTTTTTTGTGTTCCTAGGACTCAAAGTGATTGATTTTTATGGGTTGGTAGGAACAGCCACTGATCTACGATTTTTTCTAACCGGGACAAGAACTTGATTGGCGTCCCTTTCGTCTAGCATTCGAGTTTAGATTTTCAAAATGGCATATATCTGACAATTTTTATTGTGCAGAAATTTAAAAAGTGCCATTTTTTAAACATTTTTTTTTTTGTTTAAAATATACTTTTTTTATTTTATTTTTTTTTGTCAACTAATTGTAAATTGTAATTGTAAAGACTAAAATTATTTGGGTTTCGTATTGCTCCCCGTGATTAGCGTTTTCACTATATTATTTTGTATAAATCTGTGTTTCTCTTAAATACCCCCCTTATCTGGCCCATCCAGAATCACCTTTTGGGTAAAAGGTACAAAGTGATTTCACCGATTAGGTTGGATAAGGTATGTATTACCGCTGTTAAGGTTCTTTCAGGTACCTATATTATACCATACCATTTGTATGTGACCGCTTGGAATGTACGAGTATTTACTCCACTGGGGCTACTTTGAGTGGCATCCGGACAACCCTTATTCTAAATAACACCCTAGCGCCACCCACCACTTCCACCTCACCACAGGTGAAGCGAAGACGTGTCACATAAGTTACAGAATTAGTTCCACTCTAAATATAAATACATTTTGATCATTTATTTTTAATACTTTTTTATCAAAACTAATAAAAGTTGAACTAAAGATAACTCTCGGTGTCCAGAAGAAGCCGAGAGCTGAGGTCGATGTCAAGCAATTTTTGATACCTTTTTTATTCTTAAGATACCTATACATTTTTCAAAATTTTTATTTTTTTTTTTATTAATTTTTATTTATTTTTGATTAATTTTTAAATATTTTCTTTTATTTTTATTTACTTTTAATTATTTTCATTTATTTTTTTATCTATTTATTTTTATTTATTATTCAGTTTTAAAATGTGAAAATCCAAAAACCTTGAAATACGTCATTATATTTACTAATAATGAGTAGCTACAATTTCAATTTTCAAGTTCCTACCTTCAAAAAACCGAAAGTCTCATTCAAACTTTCACCTCCTGTTTCCCCCCTATGTCTTATTATTTATAATAAGTAGCTATAATTTCAATTTCTTTCCTTAAAAAAAAAGCGATAGCCCCATACAAACTTCCCCCCTTCTCCCAGTTCTCCCCCTTTGTCCCTTTTCTTTCCTTGATATCTTATTCCCCTTTCCCCCTTAAAATATGAAAATCCAAAAACCCTTAAAGTCGTCATTATTTTATTTCTTTTGAGTAGCTTCAAATTTTCATGTTTCACTACCACTATACAAAAAATCATGTCTGTGAAAAACAAATATATCCCACGGGTACCGTATTTTTTTTCCGGGATAAAAAGTAGCCTATGTGCTATTCCAGACTTTAAAATATCTTTGTGCCAAATTCCTTCCAGTTCCGTTCAGCCGTTCTTGCGTGATTTATCAACAAACATCCATCCATCCAAACTTTCGCATTTATATATTAGTAGGATATCTTTAATAAAAATCATGAAAGTTCTTTTAAAATTTAATAAAATAAAGAAACTTTTACACTATTCTTTGGGTACCATCTTCTTTGATTTCATAAGTTATTGATGGTGTTAAGCTCAGCTCTACCAATTCTTGTCCATGCGATGTTTTATTATTGAATCTATTTTCATAATTTGCTCGAAATACCTGGTTCAAATTAAAATCGCTTAAAGCTGACTGTTCATAGTTCGTGGTTGGAGAATCATAGTTGGTTGGAGGTAGTAAATAATTCATTTTAGGTGTTTCCAAATATATTGATAACGGTTTGGTAACTTCAGATACATAATTGGTTTTAGTATTATAATCCGGATTTTCATTATTTGCGACGTTGTTCGTTTCTGATCCTTTAAAGCTGGAATCAGAAGTTTGAGGAACTGTCTTGATTTGATTTTTTAACGGAGATATAATTAAATTATTAGAATTTTGATTAAAATAATTTTTTGATTGATCATTGGGTGATAAACGAATGCGATGTTTTGAAACTGTACTTGCAGATGGAATCTCCTGGGGAGTATTATCAGAAGCTAAAGAAGCTAGTTCGTAATCTTTATTGTAAGATGGTTCTTTATAAACTTCATCAGTATAGTCATTTGGTGGAAATTTATCTGGATATAATTCTGGTTTATGCGGATCTAATGATGAAGATGCTGAAAATAATTTACTAAATAGATTACTGGCACTTGGTGGTTGGACGTAGTGGGATTGACGGTGATGAATCTGTGGTCCCTGATTTACATCCGTAATTTTTTTTAATATCAGCAGACCACCGGAACCTAAAACATAAAATAAATTAAATATTGTTTTGGGAAATTTTATTTTAACAGATTTCAGTTAGTTTTGTTTTTTCTAAAAAGTGTTCTTGCAACCAGGTGGGTGGTCAGGTAAAATTGAAAGCCAATAAAATTAAAATATCGTTTTCAATTTTCTTTTAGTGGTATATTATTTAAATACTTTACCTTCATCGTGATGATGTGGATGATCTTCTGTTACGTGGTAGTCTAGGCTAGAACCTGATGGACCATTATGATAGATATCTTCATGACTGGGTCCTGGATAATGGTTTTCAACTTCATATTCTAGAAGTTTATTAAATAAATATAGTAATTTTGATATACTGAAAATTTGAATGTATTCAGCACTTATTAGGAATATAAATTTATTTTGGTTTATTTTATGAAATTTAATGAAAGAAAAAATGCCGGAAATAAAAGAAATGTTTTTACCTTCATGGTAGTGTCCTTTATTAGATGAAGATGAGTGATAAGGTACTAGTATAGCGTTCGTGGCAATGGTCTTTCCAAGTTTTGTGATTGCATCCCCTTGTGAACTAACCAATTTTCCAGATGCACTAACAAGTTTTCCTCCACCTTTGATTAATTGACCTTTAATTGCTATTACTCCTCCCTTTATGGCCTTTACTGCTTGAAGTAACGTATTTAAAACTGATTTTTTCAAATACCAAAAATCAAATGACGGTTCATGTTCAACCTAGAATTATTAAAAAAAAAATTAAATGACGAAGGAATCATAATCCTAAATCTACAGTGTGTAACAAAAATATGTATAGTAAATTTTACCACAGCTTCTATGGTCGAAAATAAGTTGATTTAAGCTAACTTGCTTGCTTAAAAAATGGATAGTAAAAAACTTACAGGGTGTTAAAGTGAAATTATTAAAGTGGTTTTTGCTCTTACTCTAAAACAGCTTAACATATTTTTATGAAAATGTACATGGAATGTAAGTATATAATGACCAATAAAATGGAGTTAGTGGCATTTAAAGTTACTTTAATTTTATAGGTTTTCAGAAGGGTTCCGCACCCCTTTGACCCTCCTAATTTTTTAAACAATGAAATTTAACAACTGGAGAGAGTTTCGATACTTCTTGCCAAGTAGGTCGACGATTTTCCTCTTTCCATTGTCGCTGCTTCTTTAAAACGGGATCGTTCTCTTGTTCTTCCCTAAGTTTGACAGGGGCCCACCCTCGTACAGTAATTTCTTTAGCAGATGTGGCCAACCCCTTTCCAAGCAGATTTCCTTGACCATTACCTTCATTACACTTCGAAGGTTCCACCATAACAGGCGTTCCTTTCTCTACAGTTCCTTGCAACCGCGTTACTCTTTATAGTTTCATATCTATCAGGCACCACTGTTCGTTTCGGTACAGCTACCGACGCGGTTTTTCGATTCGTAGTGTTTTTTGGGCGTTTGCGCGAACTGCTTACATTTCCCATTTCACTGCTATTCCAGCACCTAATAGTCTTCGGTTGCTTCTCAAAAAAGCTTTTTGTGAAACAATTGGTAAAATTTATTTCCCTGTTCTTCCTCTTTTACAGTTCTTACTTCACTGTATCCACCAGAAGCCGGCGTAGTCGCTTCATATTCAAGAGTAGCAGACAAGACATCGACCAATGTTTTGTGACGGGATAAACGGAGTGTTCTTTGCATTTCATAGTTACGAAGTCAACAAATACTTGAACATTAAATCATGTATTCCGTAGCTGATGGGTAGGTAAATCGCACCATCTTCGCAATATCTAATTCAAATTCTTGAAGGCTCTCATCACGTTTCTGTTTGCGATTCTTCAACTGTAATCGGTACATCTGATCCAAGTGTTCGTGGCCATATCGCATATTTAGTCTCTTTTTGCGTTGTTCAAAATCATTCGTCTCTTCCACAGGTATTGTCTAAAGAACATCTTATCGAAGGGGGATGGTCAACTTTACTGCCTTATCTCGTTCAGACCATTCGTTTACTCTGGCAGCTGTTTCGAACTGTTTAAGGTAGTTGGTCCATAACATCTTTCCGTGGAAAGTTGGGGCTTTAACACGAGCAGAATTTACAGCTCCTTCCAATTTTAACTTCGAGTCCACCTCATGGCACTTTATTTCACCGTCCTTGGCCGGTTCTGAATGTTCCAGTTCTTCTATCTTCTTTTCCATCTCTTTTATTTTCTCCTCAACGGAAGACATCTTGTTTTCCACATCAACAGAGATTTCATTTTTTAGAGAAGACATTTTGTTTTCCAAGTCGGAAGAAATTTCATCTTTTAAAGAAGATATATCAGAAGAAACTTTAGTTTCTAAAGAAGAGATTTCGTTTTTCACGGAAGACATATCAGAAGACACCTTTTCTTCTAAGGAAGAAACTTTTCTATCTAAGGAAGAAATGTCTAAAGATACTTTACTTTCTAATGAAGTAATGTCAGAAGAAACTTTAGTTTATAAGGAGGAAATATCATTTTTAATAGAGGAAACATCAGATAAATATCGGTTTTTAAAGAAGACACCGCTTTTCATATAGGAAATTGAAGAAATTATAGAAGATGCATCATCCGAAAACAGATACGTTTCCGAATCCAAACCTTCATTTTTTGGTGCTTTTTTAAGTCGTTCTTCCAGCTCTGATTTCTTCCCTGTCGTCTCCAGTTCCAGTTTTTCTAATTCTCGACGCAATTCGGCCACTTTTAAATCACACAGTTTTTTTAGCCATTTTTGTCCGCTATTTATTTACAGTTCCACTTCTAACACCAATGTAACGTTTGTTTAATTTATTTAAAACACTTTATTTATAACGTACTAATTAATAATGCTTAGACACTATTATAACTCACAATTCTAATTTATTTATTACAATTTATCTTTTCTATGCAGCACTTAAATTGAAACTTAACTTGTCCATCGACAAACTCGTCCTATTTATATAAACCAGAACACTAGGCGACCCAGAAGCTTCGGGAACTCCCTCTCTATGACTCATACGCCAGTGATCACTCCGGTAGTTTCGAGAAGTAGCGCGTTTATCTCGATATGGCCAGCGCTAGACTTTATACCGCGGGTAAGGTAGTAAACACAGAACAGAGACACAGTATGTATTTTTGAAAGCCTTAATTACCAGGTTATAACAAATTGGACTATCTAATACTCCGTATTTTACAGTTCAACATAAAATGGAGATAACATAAATAAATATAGAAATAAATCAAATTAGTAATTTTTAAATAAATTAAGCACATATAGAAAAGATCTATTTGGTCGGCATATAGGGTAATAAGCATATAATATAAAGTATAAAATAGCAATTACATGATGTGGAACGTGATTTGTGTAGTGGTAATGCTCTTCTCCTTTATTGCTACTTGTTCTGCTAAATTCTCCAGAAGCTGCGGCTGATGCCTTGGTTAGTTGTCCTATCTTTTTCTTAATACCATTTCCGATTGAAGTCTTTATTATGTTGAGAATTGCTCCCGAATCGCTTCCAGATCTGAAAAAGAAAATATATAGGTAGACATACCGGTTTTGTTTTGTGGTTAGTGTTTTGTTTGAAATGAAAAAAAAATTGTGATTTCATTATTATACTCTTCACACAGTAGTCTGTGAAGAGTCTGTCTGTCCGTCCGTCCGTCACGAAAAACGATTACAATTTAATAATTTCAGAAAAAATTTGAATAAAAATAGGGGGTTAAGGGGGGTAGAAAGAGTAAAAAAAAATCTTACCTCAAACCCTAAAAATGATATCAACTGGATTAGTCGAAAATAATCGATTAATCGAAAATAATCGATTAATCGAAAACAATCGATTAGTCGAAAATAATCAATTAATCTAAAATAATTCATTAATCGAAAGTAATCGGTTAATCAAAAGTAATCGGTTAATCAAAAGTAATCGGTTAATTGAAAATAATCGAAAATAATCGGTTAATCAAAAATAATCGACTAATTAAAATAATCGATTAATCGAAGATTATTTGAAAATAATCGATTAAAAGCAAAAATCGTTAATCTAAAATAATCTATTATTCGAAAATAATTGTTGAATCGAAAATAATCGATTAATTAAAAATAATCGATTGTCGATTAAAAAATAATAGATTATTTTGCACATTCCTAGTTGTAATATTAAAAAAAATACTAATTCAAAAACAAAAAACGATATCAAATTGAAATCTTCAGGAAAAATCAAGCTTTATAAGGGATGAGGCTTATTGATTTAAAAAAAAAAAACTAAATAAAAATGAAATGAAATCAATTTTTCATTAGTTTATCTCTTTTTTAAATACGACAAATAATAAATTAAACAATCGTGAACAAGAACTTTTTTTATTATTAAAGATAATACTTATTTACCTACTAAAATAGTATAAAATAAACAGCGGAAAGATTAAAACGAATTACCAAAATCGATTAATTGTCGTATTTTTTTTTTTAATTTTTCATATTTTACAAATAAAAAAATTGCTTTAAACGGAGTTGAACTCGGGTCGCGAAAACCAAAACAGTGCACATTGGCGATCTAAGCTATGAAGGCTTATGTCGAGTTAATTATCTAATCAAATATGTGACATTCGCATTTTATACAACAGCTTTTTTAAGACACAGTCATCGAGCGCTCCATCGCGTGTGCGTCTGCAGCAAAGTATTTTAATTTTCTACAAGGCAAGAAAAAACGAGAAATTTGTAAATTAGCCTTGCTCAAATGTCCACCAAAAAAGCACTGGATACTAATAATATTTACTACTCGTAAATTAGAACATCCATTGTACAAAACCTACAATATGACTATAATTAGATCTTAAATTCTTACCTTTTAGATCTCTCCAATTTTTGTTCCAGGTAAGCAATATGTCGTCGTTCACTTGGCGTAATATCGTTTAGTGTTATTATGCTTAATGGTGCACGGATGGGGGACTTCAAGGCACTTGATAATACCTGAATGGTACATTGAAATAATATCAAAGTGATTGTCTGAAACAAAATATAATTTAGAAAATACAATTTTACTCAATGTTGTCTACGTTAATTCTTGGTGTCTTTATTAAATTTTGATCCATGAAATTAATTCATTTTAATAATTTTTTGACCATAATACTAATAATGTATTTATATAAAATTGTTCATCATAACTTTCTTATAACTCAATAGTGTATTGTACTCTCGTGTTTTTTCCTAGTGGAAATAGAATACAATAATTTAATAATTTAAAGAACTATTTCTTATTTTCTTCGGAACCATAATTTTATTTAACCATCATTTAATTTTTAAGGCATTGCTTCTCCTAGTGAGTGCGCTAGAATCCGACATTACCTAATTTAAATAATTGGGATAGGCTTATCTATAGTAGTTCTTATCCTCCCGAGTTCTGTAACATCCATCATTACCTAACTAAAATGAGTAGAATAAGTAGTTCCTCCTATTTAATGTTACCTATAGTAGATAAAACTTATGTACGCGCAACTCGTAAGATACAACATTAAAATCACTTAATGATTGTGGTAACACGGTACATGTTCACAAATTTACTCTCCTTAGAAAATAGGTAATTTTAAAATGCGTAAAATTTTATTATTTACTAAACCGAGGAGAAAATACTACAATTCAGGGAAATGAAAGGAGATGACTAAATTTAATATTATTTGTTTGTTTGTTTGTTTGTTTGTTTGTTTGTTTGTTTGTTTGTTTGTTTGTTTGTTTGTTTGTTTGTTTGTTTGTTTGTTTGTTTGTTTGTTTGTTTGTTTGTTTGTTTGTTTGTTTGTTTGTTTGTTTGTTTGTTTGTTTGTTTGTTTGTTTGTTTGTTTGTTTGTTTGTTTGTTTGTTTGTTTGTTTGTTTGTTTGTTTGTTTGTTTGTTTGTTTGTTTGTTTGTTTGTTTGTTTGTTTGTTTGTTTGTTTGTTTGTTTGTTTGTTTGTTTGTTTGTTTGTTTGTTTGTTTGTTTGTTTGTTTGTTTGTTTGTTTGTTTGTTTGTTTGTTTGTTTGTTTGTTTGTTTGTTTGTTTGTTTGTTTGTTTGTTTGTTTGTTTGTTTGTTTGTTTGTTTGTTTGTTTGTTTGTTTGTTTGTTTGTTTGTTTGTTTGTTTGTTTGTTTGTTTGTTTGTTTGTTTGTTTGTTTGTTTGTTTGTTTGTTTGTTTGTTTGTTTGTTTGTTTGTTTGTTTGTTTGTTTGTTTGTTTGTTTGTTTGTTTGTTTGTTTGTTTGTTTGTTTGTTTGTTTGTTTGTTTGTTTGTTTATTTGCACCGGTGAAATCCAAGAGCTTTATGATATTGTTTATTAAATTTTATATTAGATTATAAATTAGCCACATATTTTATTCCATATAGTTCCTTCAATATTAATGAATTCATTTGATCACATAATTAATATCAATCTATATATTCTATAGATTGTTACAATCTTCATAATATACTATCAGTAACGTAGCGTGGGGGGAGGGGGGGAGCGAAGCTTTTCTGGGGCGTCTAAAGGTGCGTCTAAAGGTGCGTCTAAAGGTGCGTCCAAAGGTGCTCTTAACGCAAAGGATGGGAGGGACCGTCGCCCCCATCCCACCCCAGTCCTCTATACGCTTCGCCACTGTATACTATATTTTTGAATAATTTAAAATAGTTTGTAAGGCATAGCAAAAAGATTGGTAGGTAACATTTTTTTGTAGAGTACCGAATAAAAAATTTTTATGCGGAACACGAGCCAAAACAGTTGATAATTAGTAGATAATAATGTAACGTTTGTTTAATTTATTTATAGTTTATTTAAAACACTTTATTTATAATTTATTTATAACGTATTAATTAATTTATATAATACTTAGACACTATTATAACTTAAAATTCTAATTTATTTATTATAATTTGTCTTAACTGTCCAACACTTAATTTGAAACTTCCCGTCCATCGACAAACTCGCGCTATTTATATAAAGCCAGCTCTGCACTAAAACAATCTCGAGGATCCAGAAAGTTTGGGAACTCCCTCTCTATGACTCAGACGCCCCAAAGCGATCTATCCGGAGGCTTCTCGAAGCGGTGCATTTGTCTAGCGCTAGACTTCCTGTCGCGGGTACGATAATAAACAAAGAACAGGGTTGACTTGCGCGACATTGCCCCCTCCTTAAGAAATAGGTCCTCCTGAAACTAAAACTGAATGATGCATCTGCAACTTGACCCACTTTTACAATTTCCATTTGTATTGAAATAACAAGGGACAGTTTTTGCTGAAACCTAGACACTAGGCGAATAGCTGCAGACCAATATTTGGACCTCGGAATCTTGAAAGATTACTTCCAGCATGTTTCTAATGATCCTCCTTAGCTGGTTGCTCTCTATCTTGGGCATGGCTAGTTTCTGTACATTGGACTCCAGTACGTGCTCCCTCAGACTAAGCAATGCTTTCCATAAGTGGATCGATCTCTTTCTTGATTTTCTTGATATATTGTGCAATCAGATTAGGTTAAGTATTTGGCAACCATTATTATGTTATATGTAAAATGGATCTAGAATTTTGAAATAATGTAGATTTATTATTTTTTCATAAAGTAATATCAGGATCTATTAATTGTTGCGAACTTTTAAAATCCATTCAATTTAGAGTACCAGTAAGATACTCGTCAAAATGATATATTCTTCATTCCATTTCATAGAACTAATCATGACTTTGTATTTTAACAAGAATGTAACGAACTGCAAATTCATTGAATTTGGATATTTTGGGTGTCTTTTAATAGCTTTAAAAAACCTGTAGAAATATGCTCTCTTGATATTTTATAATTTTAAAACATTTTCAAAATAATCTATATCTGCGTAATCGCTGAAATTTTAATTTTGGTTCATTTACATTTAAAATTATCAAGTTCAAGTGTTTATCATATTTACATTAAAAAAAATTAAATTAATATCCTACCATAATGTAAACGCTTAGGTAAATTATCATTCTCATTCAACGTGACAAAAATTACAAATAATTCAATGTCTCACTTTCTCCAAATAGCTTCAAAAAAAAATGACAAAATGTATATCCTTATTAGTTAAGAATAATCGGGTTTTAGCGGAAGAACAGACATTTAAGTTCAAAAGGCTCAAATGAACTGAATATAAAATGCCATTTATACTTAATTGATGAATTTTGATATATAGGAACATAAACCCTTAAAGGGCCATAAATCAAAAACACCTTGAAATATTTTTTCAAATTTGGTGACCAATATGCTCTTTAAGGAAGTATTATTTTGAAAAATGTAACTAGTGGCACGCTATTAATTATGCCACCGGAACAAACATTTTATTTCTTTTTTTAATTTTTAGTCAAAAAAGTACTAAACTTTTATGGAGCTAAATTGGACATGTTTGCAAAAATTTGCTTCTAAACAAAAGTCTATATACACTTAGATAATTTGTAACGATTCAATATTTCTAATCTATTAGGCGTGTGTTAAATTTTTAATGGTTCGTATATTTGACAAGATCTTGGTAAATCAAATTTGAAAAAAAAATATTTAAATACTTTTTTGATTTATGACAATTTTCAATTTTAACACCCTGTATTTCGTTAACTATAAGCCCTTTAAGAATTTATGTTCCTATATCAAAATTCATCAATTAACGAGAGCTCTCTAGGGGTTAAAGCGAATTTACTAACACCCTGTATACTTTTTTACACAATATTGAGCAATAAACGTATTATTATTATTATTTTTTGTTTCATCGGCTTCGACCACTAAGGTTATTTCGCTTCGTGTTCTGTGTAGGCTTTGTTACTGTTTCCCAGCGCCACTTTAGGAACAGCACTGTTAATTAGAACCAAACAGTGAATGGTCGAGTGGGAAATCCTACCAAGGCATCAGAATTAATTTTAAATAATTAAATTAAATGAAAAAATCCCGGCCAACGGTGGGATTGAAACCTGGGACTCTTGGATCCGCAGGCAGAGACTACCACTGAGCCACCCATCCCCTTATTATTAATTTTTTTTGTGTGTCATCGGCTTCAACTACTCTAGTTATTTCGCCTCATGTTCTGTGTAGGCTTTGTTACTGTTTCCCAGCACTGTTAATTAGAACCCAACAGTGAATGGTCGAGTGGGGAATCCTACCAAGGCATCAGAATAAATTTTAAATAATTAAGTTAAATGAAAAAATCCCGGCCAACGGTGGGATTTGAACCTAGGACCCTTGGATCCGCAGGCAGAGACTCTACCACTGAGCCACCCACCCCCTCATTATTATTATTAAATAATGTTGTGCTCGGAACCATTGTTTGAAAGTTGGCATATTAGGGCCCCGATATTTATAACTACGTCTGTGCTAGAAAGGTCGTAGATCTGGTGAGAGTTTCGAATTGTGTTGAATATCAACTGGAGAAAATTAAGTCGTTTCTTGTTTCTTACCTTAATTATCTTAAGAATAATTTAAAGAAACCTCAAATGTTTCAGAAACGAAGAAATAATAGTTATAGTTAATCATTTTGAAATAACGATTTTAAGAGAATTAAGGTGAGTTTTGAAATTTAAAAAATAAAAAACCAGAAATTTATAGACGAAAATATTAAGTGAAAACATATAAAAAAAATGATGAGATTACATATTGAATAATCAAAGCGAAATATAAATTTAAACTAGGTATGTCAATAAAAAAAAAATAGTGAAAGTGGTACAATTATGGAGAAAGAAATGTAATCTATCATCAAAATTAGTCAATAACAGAAAATAATAATTTATAAACATTTCATTAAGTAACTATATATTATGTACGTACAATAAAATTTAATGAAATATCTTATCAAAATAATGAGACGTTTATTAAGTGAATATTTAATAAAAAATTATTCCATTCATAACGATGCGTCTTTTATGAATGTATGATTTAAATGTAGCCAAAAGTAGGAGAATAGCTATAAATTGCAAATAACAAAGTTCTGTTGTTTACTCATATTGGAGATGACATAAGGTGGGAATGCATTAAGCGGGCTACTCATACACCTGCCGCAGG